GCTCCATCCCATTCCCTGCTCCATCCCATTCCCTGCTCCATCCCATTGCCCTGCTCCATCCCACTGCTCCACCCCATCCCGTTGCTCTGCTCCAGCCCCAGCTTGCCAGGCTGTGTATCCATGCAGAGCTGCATCTTTTAGCTCAGATGTCAGTCTAAATCTTTACCAAAATTTAAACTCTTTACACTATAAGGAGTCTCTGAACTCCTGGTGTCTTGTATGTTTTTGTACCACAGAAGTGAGGAGATGCAGCTGTCTGCAGGGCGCCTCGCTGAACCCAATGAGTCGCAGTGGCTCAATGCTGATGCCTGGCAGCGTCTGATTACAGTTAATGTGCTGGGTGCTTGAAGCAGTAAATACAGCCTTAAACAAACCCACATGACACAGAGGAGTCTCCATCTCTTGGCATTATCCAGTTGTGGCCCAGCTCCTTGTCAGGTCACACCAGGGAAGCTAGAACTCTGCTGCTGGATTTGCTTGCCCAGCCCTGGCACCTCTCCTCCCAGCAGCCCTTTGTGGGCTCCAAAATGCTTCAGATTTTGTCTTCAGTGAGCGTTACTGCTGTGCACCTATGGCTGGGGGCACAGCTGGCCATTTACAGGAACCACCCATGGCCAACAGTCTGGAAGCAAAAGTTTTAGCATAGCACAATTGGGGCTCATCCCTTCCCAGCCCTTCATGCCACTGCTCTGAACTGCCCCAACAGGTCACTGTGCTGGGAGCAGCACAGCCCACTGCCCTGCCTGGTGCTCTGCACAACAGTCCCCAATGGGCACTGTGCTGGGAGTGCTGCTGGGAGTGGTGGGACCCAGTGGGACGAGAAGGGCAGCATAGGGCTGGCTGGGCAGGGCAGAGGCTGCGGGGCAAGGACTGCACAGGGCAAGGACACGTTTCCTTCATGCATTCCTCAAGGAGATGTTCCTAACTGTTAATGAAAAAGACCAACCCAAACTCAAGTTATTCCCATTCACTTAACTCAAGTGTCTCCTGCAGAGGGGATGGGAATGTTCCAGCCATGCTTCCCCAGGCCCAGGGGCTCCATCCTGGGGTCACCCAGCAGAACTCTCATCCACAAGGAGGTCTCACTCTGCAGCAAAATGTATTTCTAATTCAAAAGCAGCCATTCCACAGCTTCATAAACTGACCAGAGATTGAGAAGAGATAACATTGTAGTCACCTTAAGGAAGTTCAATAAACTGAGTGCTATTGATTATCTTTCTTATTAAATAAATGCACAGTCCTACCCTATCTCTTGCTGATATGAATAATTAAAGCAAGCGTTTGGTGTCTGACAATGCCAATATATTCCAGTGGCTCAGCCCATGGCAGTGTCCTTTTGCCACCAGCAATGGGCATAAGGGGTAAGGGATAAGCTGCTGCCAAATCCATCCCCAGAATCTGTACCCAGTGTCTGAAGAGCTCAACCCAAGCTGTATCTCCCAGGTCATAGCTACCCGTGTGCTGGCTGTGGGCTGCAGGGATGTCTGTGCCACCTGGTTGCAGGACATCACTTGTTGTGCAGCCAGGCACATGTCTGTCTGGGGACAGCAGAACCCACAGCGCAGTCTGTGCCAGTGGCTGGGCACAACCAATTCTCTCCTTTTCTCCTCTTACGCTTTTCAAACCCACCTGCAAAGCCACCACAGGCAGGTCTGGCCCTGCTCCCCCCACCTGTTCATTTATTGACCCAGCAGCTTTATCTAATGTCCTGGAAATAGTATTGCGGCAATGTCAATAAATTAGCTTGATTACAGTAACAATGCAAAAGTTAATAATTTAGCTGATATTTTACTGGACCCATTTGCAGCTATCGATTGGCTTTATGTGAACATTACTTGCAAGCAAAGCACGTGCATGGCTGTGACCACCCGGTGCCCACAGAGCTCAGGAGAAATGACCCACAGCCATCACAAGGCCCTTGATGTTTTGTGACGATTGCTGACGAGCCCACCAAGGCATAAGCTCCCCCTGCTCTGTGCAGCCTGTGGATCGGCAGCTTTTTGAATCACAGAACCATAGAGCCATTGAGGTTGGAAAAGCCCTTTAGGATCCCCAGCCCACCCCAGCCCACCTCCCCATGCCCGCTGCTCATATAACTCAGTGCCAAATCTTCACAGCTCTGAAGACCCCCCAGGGATGGTGACCCCCACCCCTGTGCAGCTCTTTCAAAGGAGAAATGTTTCCCAATGTCCAATCCAAACATCCTGGCACAACAAAAGGCCATTGCTGTCACTTTGCCCACATGCCGGCACACAGCCCAATGCCCAGCAGC